AAAAAAAAAAAAAGGTGAAAAATGCAGACCACTTTTTCACAGTGCTTAGTGATAAAGTGGAGAAAAAGGCATTAAATCCAGAGAATAGGGGAGGATACACTCTGGAGTGGAAGCAGGTTACTCCCATCTCTGAAACAAAAGGTAAGAATGTGTGTAAATGAGCCACTACTCCTCATCCTCAAGGTTCTGTGGTTCTGTCCTGGTGCTCAGATATCTCTTTTCCATTGGGCTTCAACTATTTCTTACTGTTCTCACTCTTGCATTTCTCCTTCACTATTTCTTATATATGAAAAAACCTGTTAATAAATAGTCTTAGAAATCTATAGTGGAGAGTTACCATGTAAATCCAAGATCTCTGTTTTTAAGATGGGACATATTATAATTCCATAGCTATTAATCTTGGCATTTCACACCGAAGATGGTGACACATTGACCAGAAAAGGAAACATCGAAATTGAGAGACGGGCAACAATGAGAGGGTCATGGGAAGCAGGAAAAAAAGGAAGGGGGAGAATGAAGGAAGGAAGAAAGAAGGCTTACAAGAAAACAGAAAAGGGAAAGGACGTGGGGAAGGAAGAAGAGGAGGGGAAGGAAAAAAGGAAGAAGACAGAAATGGAAGTGAGACAATTTCTGCACATTGGGGAAGGATCAAGTACACACATACGGATGTTAAGTTCAGCTGTAGCTGATCCTAGTTCTAGGCAGAGAATGCTTGCTACTGTCCAATTTCTTCCCAGGTGAAAAGTAGAATTTCTAGTTCTGCCATTCTCAAACACCGTGACCACCTACCACAAGCAAGAAACTTAGTACTCTCATTTTTTTTTTCATTACTCAAAGGAAAGATAGATTTACTTTCTCATTTCCTTGCTGGTTTGAACTGGTTGGCATTCACTCCTTACCCTCTTTAACAAACTGATGGTTATCTCAACTGGCACAATCTTTCCATCTTTAATGTACTTTTCAATGAGTTCACCATACTGTGAATCTGGGTTCTTCCTTTCATCACGAAGGAGTTCTCCTGCAGAAAGGTGTGTGTAGCCATATTTCTGAAAGGAACAACACAAAGGGAAAAAAATTAGAATATATTCAACCCAATGATAGGACTATCAATTTTTTTCCTTCATGTTAATTTCTATGTTCTAATTTTTCTACAATAAATAAGCTTTGCTTGTACATTAAACAAATAATTGTTAAAAATTTAAAGAGATTTCATACAATCAAATTTGCTTAAAAAATACTCTTAACCTGGTAGGGCACGGTGGCTACAATGTTCACACACCACAAAATCATCCAGGAATTTGTGTAACTATTCAAGGCATTAACATTTCATTATAATCCCTCACAAAACACAAAGTTTAAATGTCATTAATAATGTTCAAAAATGCATAACAAAAACCTATACAATTCAAGGCAAAAAAAAAATAAAAATAAAAAATCCTACCAGTGTTGGCTGTATCCACCTTCTACAAAATCTCTACTTCCGTTCCTTAAACTCAACACACCTAAACTGAACTCATCAGCATTTACACTAACCCCATTCTTCTGGTCTGTTCCCTTTCTCAGTAAATAGCAGAAGTCCTACCTCCTACACAAAATTAGCTTCGAGAGTGGTCACATTAATCAAATAGAGCCTTCTCTACCTATCACTGTATCACTGTCTCTCTACCTAGACCAGTACCTTCCTTACCTTTCTTCAAAGTCCACTGCCTCTTCCTCCTCTAGTTGCAACTAGAGGTCTCATCTGTAAATTGGGAATACACATAGCTATTTTATAAGTTATGGCTAAATAAGATAATGTATATACATTGCCTACCAAAAAGCCTGCACATAGCAGGGGATAAAAGTCACCAATTACTTCATTGCTATTATGAAGATACTTATCTTAAATAAGCTAGAAGCATTTTTTCTATTATATATACACCATTTTATATGTGTGTGCACAAACACCCACACATGCATATGTACTCATTTTGATGTTTTGTTTTTTTTTTAATTTTTTTTTTCAACGTTTATTTATTTTTGGGACAGAGAGAGACAGAGCATGAACGGGGGAGGGGCAGAGAGAGAGGGAGACACAGAATCGGAAACAGGCTCCAGGCTCTGAGCCATCAGCCCAGAGCCTGACGCGGGGCTCGAACTCACGGACCGCGAGATCGTGACCTGGCTGAAGTCGGACGCTTAACCGACTGCGCCACCCAGGCGCCCCATTGATGGTTTTTATAGAAAGACCAATCAAGAGGCTTAACTGAGGTAATAGCTATGAATAGCCAACGAAAAGTCAGTAGTATAATTATGACTGTGACGATCATTATTATGTAGGACTTACAAATGATGCACTAGGTGCAGGGTACAAGGTAGTAGTTGAATTAAGTCATATAAAATGCTACAGTATTGTGGGCGCCTGGGCGGTTCAGTCGGTTAAGTGTCCGACTCTTGGTTTCGGCTCAGGTCAGGTCATGACCTCGCAGTTCATGAGTTCAAGCCCCGCATCAGGCTTCAGGCTCTGCCCTAACAGCACGGAGACTGCCTGGGATTCTCTCTCTGCCCCTCCTCTGCTCTATCTCTCAAAATAAATAAACAAAAAAACCAAAAAACAACAACAAAAAAGGTACAGTATTGCTCTGCCGTTTCCCCATGACTGGAATGAGAAAACAATGCTGATCTAAGAGACCATTCTGAATAATGAAAAGCTTCTTCCTCTACATGAACATATACATTCCCTTTTATTAAGTCAAAAGAACTATAGAATCTTTTTTTTTTTTTTAGTTTTTATTTATTTATTTTGAGAGAGAGAGAGACCATGTGAGTGGAAGGAGGGGCAGGGAGAGGAGGAGAGAGAGAATCCCAAGCAGGCTCCACAGTCAGCGCAGAGCCCAACACGGAGCTCCATCCCACAAACCCATGAGATCATAACCTGAGCAGAAATCAAGAGTCAGACGCTTACTGGGCCACCCAGGTACCCCTAAAATCTATTTTTACAACATTTTTACTCTCAAATATCAGGGCATTCAGAACTATATTCAATTTTTGGTTACAAAAATCATCTCTCCCCAAATTCTTAAGACTCCCTAAATGAGACTTTATCTCATGCATACTTAAGTGTGCAATAAACGTTTAAGAGCTTAAATTTATCTTTAATTCCAACATTAAGATTTGAGGAAGCCTACAATCCCACCTCCTACTTTTAAAGTACAATGTTTTGGGGCGCCTAGGTGGCTCAGTCGGTTAAGGTCTGACTTCAGCTCAGGTCATGATCTCGCTGGGTTTGTGAGTTCGAGCCCCGTGTCGGGCTCGGTGCTAACACCTCAGAGCCTGGAGCCTCCTTCAGATTCTGTGTCTCCTCCTCTCTCTGCCCCTCCCATGCTCATGCTCTGTCTCTATCTCTCAATAATAAATAAACGCTAAAAAAATAAAAAATAAATAAAGTACAATGTTTCAATTGCACTCATAAAAACTCTCTCAATTACCCAGGTTATGGTGAGTCTTCTTTTTTTGGATTACAGAAGCCTTACATTCTTTACCCCTTTTCTATTTCCAAACATTGTTGGCTAAACTTATTCTTGCCGAACTAGTTCTAAGCTAGCAGTAAGGTAGTCAGCAAAGGAAAACAAACTCTAAATAGTTTATTTGCTGACTAAAATTGGGCATAAAGTTGGAGGAGAATAAACAAAACCGCAGTGTCACTCATGTCTCTTAGTCATACAGTCCCTACCATTAGAATAATCAAAAGTGTATTTAGTTGTTATAATAGGGCTTAAAGAAAAAAAACCCCTCCCATCGTTTACAGAAAATGGAAATACAAAATGTTTAATTATTTAAACTGTTATTTTAAAATTATTTCCACACACCATTTTTAAATGCCTACTTTGATCACCAAGCATAAGCAAACTTCTGAAAATGGGTGTTGTAGAAAAGGCCTTATAAAAAAAATGAGGCGTGACCCACTTTCCCACTCACTATTACAATTTTCAAAAAGCAGTTTGCAACTAGTGTCCATAAAATTTTATAGCAGTCCCATTTCCTACAGTTTACTTTGTTTTCTGCTTGGAAGTCTATGCTTGCTGGATGTTCTCATCTGGTCTAGAGATTATAGCATATGGTAATATTGAATAAATGCAGAGACAAACAGTACTAAACAATGGCAAATGCTTAGTGAAACACAAACCACACAGATCGCTCTGTAGAGATTGCCTCTGCTGCATGAACAACATACATTTAGAAGCCCAGCTAGCAATTTAGAAATTAGTATATACAGTGTTTATTTCCTGACACTGGAGCACTCAAATTTGTAAGCTCTATATTGCATTAAAGTAGGTTTTGGCATATCACTTTTTTAAAAGAGAAACTAGTTGTAAACTGAAGTATACAAATGATATTTTTAAAAAAAAATCACACACAGTTGGTCAAAAAGAGAGAAAACAACCTTATCTGCAAAGTCTAAGGAAACAAGGAATTTAAATTAGAACGATGTCAAATCTATACATGTGTCTTCCTACTGTTCATTCACATTCCATCTTTAAAAATCCTCTATTTACCACTTTTTTATACTATATTTTTCTTAAGGATTTTGCTGAAGCTTTCCTCTTACCACAGAGTTTCTACAACAAAAAGCAACTATCACTTACACACTAGCTATTATGGTATTTTAATAACAGCTAGACTTTAAAGAGCATGTTTTTAAAGCATTCTGTTGTCATTAAGTAGTCACTGATGCCAATTCTGAGGAAAGCAAGAATGGCTTTTTCTCAGGCTTAACCAAAACTCTTTCACATTCTCTGAATTTCCTAGCAATTAAAACCTAGTGGGTCACTAACTGCAGTCTTAAGAACAACATTCAAAACCACAGCAGGTTATAAATACTATAAACTACAATAAATACAATTACAAGCTACTATTCAACTAAAAATAGTTTTCTAGTGACAAATATATAAACTCAATTCATTTAGAGTAACGGTCTAAATTTTTTACTTTCATTTTCTCCTTTAAGAAACTGAAAACTCAATAAATTTTTATAAACCATATACTAAGACTTGGAAGGAGAGGGAAAAAAGCACCATGTTCTCAATAAGGACAGAATGGCACTCTGTGTAATTATAACTAGGTGAAGGTTGACAATTTATGCTATCAAATCTCCAATCAACTTGATGGACTTCTCTCCCTTCTTAGCAATCATCTTTCCTTCTTTCTAAATTTAGGTAATGTGGTGTTATGTGAACAAAGACAACGATAAAAACAATAAAAAACAAAACCACAACAAAAAAAAGAGTTCAAGGTAAAAATGATGCATAAATGGCAAGTCCTTGGAAGCAAGAAGAGATCCAGATGCCAGACACCTCCTCCTGTTAGTGTGGCAATTAGAAAGTACCACAGACTGTGACTGAGCCTCACAAGAGAGGGAACATAGCAGATACATTAGCTACAAATATACATATACAGATATATACATATATGTATATATATACATATACATATGCGTATATATACATATACATATATATATCTTTTTAATTTTTTTAAATATTTTTAATTTTTTTTTAATATTTATTTTTGAGAAACAGAGTGAGACAAAGCGTGAGCAGGGGAGGGGCAGAGAGAAGGAGACACAGAATCTGAAGCAGGCTCCAGGCTCCAAGCAAGCGGTCAGCACTGTGAGATCATGACCTGAGTCGAAGTCGGACGCTCAACGGACTGAGCCACCCAGGTGCTCTGCTACAAATATATTTTTAATGCAACTGTGTGAGTTAAAATTACTGGGTATCCTTTAAATAGTGGATGCATCTTTAAAGCATTTAAGACTACGTTTACTTTGCATTCCTTATAAGATTAGTGACCCTTAAAATCTAAATTTTGGTTCTGTACTGTCAATAATGTACCTTCAGCAGCACACCCAGAAATGCTGCAAGGACTATCCCAAGCCATCCAGACTCACTAGTCTGGTGCCTGCTGCAAACAATAGCTTTAGAGCCTACAGCCTCCCAGCAACACTTTATGTAAGGCTCTCATTTATTTCAAAGGCATTTCCAATAGAACTTTTTCCAATTACTCT